TTCAGGTGGTCGTTGTTCATAAAATAGAGTCAACTGCAAATTTTTCATTTTGGTGAACAATTTATGGGTTCGATGATGTCGCACTGTTTGACTCATAACTCAACTCTCGCCAATCGATTGACTTTTTCGTGAGCGAAACAATGACACATACTATGTGACTACACTGGTAATCGTACAGTTGGGGAGAACAACTGCCACATGGAGCATTTTCTCTGCATAAACGATGGTTTTATAATGTATTTTATTTATTTGCAACGGATCCAACGGGATGAGGATGGGGTTGTACGGTTGCATTTGTAAAAACTGATCATCCAAGCCATACATTTTCATCATATAAAAATTAAATGAGATGCCTGAAAATTGCAGAGCTTTTTTTTAAAAAAGCAAATCAAACATTTGCACAAAGTAAAAAAAAATTTCTTTGATTTTTTTTAACGAGTTCGCGGAAGAGCTCCATTCACTCATAAAGGGTGAGAGAGTGAGAGGGGGACGCACATAGATACGCAACACAAATATGTCGGTACGAGGACGAATGGCAAGCTGTTCATCAATGAACGCGATCAAATTTATACAACACCGAGCATCGATTCCATACAAACTTTACTAGGTATCCATATGACACCGAAAATGATGCGATTCTTTGATCTGTTGGTTATTGAAGTGTGCTTAAGTCAAACTGAATCCAATTCACCTATAATAATCCAAATATTGAAAAGAAAAATAAAGCATGAGAAATTTGTACGAAACGTTGGATAAAAACAATGCTGGGTTCATTAAAGCGCTTAATGTTCTATTGGCATGCGAAAAATGACGTGCTTTCATCGCTAAAAACGTCAAGTGCTTCAATGGAATTCCATTGAATCTATTCAAAAACGTGGCTATTTCTTTTTGGCTGGGCCAAGAACACTTTTTATAAGCCATTTTGCGAATATATATGGGAGTTTTTTTGGTTTACGTGATTCCCCGAACAATTGAAACGCGAGTAGACACAAACCAAAAAATAAACGACGCAACTCAACGATTTTGTAGCAAATAAAAAGAAAACAACTATATGTAATACCGAATTTTATGAGCATTCGCTCTCTGATGATAACTTTGGAATGGAAAAACCGAAAAAAAAATTGAATAAGAGTTGAGAGTGAAGGAACAGCAAGAGTAAACAGAGCGTGGTGCGGTGTTGCGTGTGAAAAAAAAAATTGAAGTTAAATAACGTATGAAATAATCAGCTGGTGCGCATAGCCCATCATCATCATCAACATCATGATGAGCAATGGATTCAATGATAATGTGTCTGTTGTGCGTGAACATACCAAATTAAGACAATATGTATCATTTTGTAACAACGGCTAAGGACAATAACAGCCGAAAGCGAACAAACTGAAAAATAAGAACACACAAACGCGCTCAAGCGGTTTGTAGGTAGAAATGTTTATTGAAATTTCAAAACCCATTTACTGTGCGTAAAAAGCAGTTGATACCTTATACTCTTACTTTCACTTACCATCACCACTATCACCGCCACCATCAACAGCAACTGAGCTCAATGCATCGGTACCAACACAAGCACGGTTCTACGCAAAAAGTAAATAAATACAAATATCTGCAGTTAAGCCAGAAAGTAGGAATTTCACCAGAGAGCCTCTTGAGATGGGTGCTCTTGCCATTGTTTTTTTTTACGCAACAAGAATGAAAGCCAAACATTTAAGACGTGCACACATTTTCGACGTTTTCACTTATCACGTGTACGCTGAGGAAACGTGTGTAAGGTCGACGCGACAGAATATATATCTACTTTTGTAGTTTGCTTGCAGTTAATACCCATCTCCCTCCATCTTGGATATATGTGCATATGGCACTGCCGTCATTCTTCAATTCGAAAATGTGTTCCGTTCCATCCATCGATGAACGGAAAAATGTTTTTCATTCATTGCCGCATTATCCCGTTAAATCCAAATGTGGCGTCGTGTTCATGCTCGATAAATTTACGCAAAACCGAATTGCTCAAAATTTCTCAAAGTTTGGAATAATAAAAGTAAGATTAAAGCGTCATGGTTTCTTTTTTCACCGCTTTCATGTCCTCCTTGTATTACCATATTGATGTTGAAAATGACAATAAAATGCGTATGCTACGTAGTAGCACTTGAGCCAAATGCTCAACACAAATCCATTTTCATACATTCCATGGACACACCACCTCACGTTTATGTCTAAATCTATGTATATATATACGTGTATGATGAAAAACTGGGGCTTTAAGAAAATATCCCGAAACCGGCAAATGGTAACAAAAACAACGACAAAATGAATTAATTCAAATGTGTTTGCTTTCGCCAACGAAATGATGAGACCGGCGAATGACGGCACTGAATGTATACGAATAGGCTTTGTGCGTGTGCAAAATGGCAAGTGAACACGTCTACTCAACAATAGTACCATTGCCTGCTGTTGTTATTGTTTATTTCTCCTTCTTTTGGACAAATCATAAGATCATTTATTCGTAAAACAACAAATACACACACACACAACATACGATATCATTTTGAGCCGAAACCACATTGCAAAAATCACGAACATTTCACATTTTGTGAAGTGTGTAAAATGGAAAATAATTATTTTACTCGAGCACTCTATCTCTCTCTCTCTTCATCTCTATCTCTGGCATTGCTGAACTGTTTCTCTGTGTTTGTTGACTCAATTCTGGTCTCGTTTTGTTCGAGATTAAAAGCTTTTCGCCTTTGTATTGTGTGCGTTCTCTTCTTGTCGTCTACCTACCAATTCACACTTAACACAATCTCTGGCTCTCTCTCTCTCTCTCTCTCTCTCTCTCTCTCTGCTTCTTCATTTCCGCCCGTTTGCATGACAGCAACCACAACGGCATCACCACCAACGGCACCAGTTTTCAATGTGAATGTGAATTTGAAGCATGTGCACAATTTAAATAAAACTGTATTAAATGTGCTGTGACAACATTTTACTTGTTTATTCGTCTCCAACACCACGGGATTGTGTCGTGAAAATACCGTCGATTGTGTGCTAAAGTTCAAATTTACACACTTTACACATGTTTTTGGGTGCGATTCCATTAAATTTCATCGATTCAATATCATCAAATGGATACACATTAATAGCATACATATTGACGATGACGACGACGGTGGAAATGACACGTCGAACAGCGCTCATAGGTATTTGTGTATTGTGCAAAATCAACCAATGGAATATAATTTTCGTTCTACAAAAGAATTTGCTCGCGTCCATTTTAATATTCGACCATTTAAATTGCTTAAATGAAGGTTAAATCACATTTTATCCAATTATTATTACGCATTGTATTGTGACAAACCTTTGTTTGTCAAATTTTTCATTTGAGCCGTGTCAAAAAGACTGAATTCATTGAGTGTGCTTTTTCTCAATGAACTTGGCAACGCTGATTTTCTCTCTTTCTTTCTTTTCAACAACATTATGTGATGGCAAACGATAATTCATATCGCATTTTATTTTCGATAGAAATTTCGATAAGTCAAAACGCCAAAATATGAACATCTGATTATTTTCGTCGTTAGGGAAAACCCCTGGCAGGGCACATAATGGCTGATGCAAAAGCGGGCAAAAATTGTTAATAAACGTTGAAACTCGATTTTAGCTCACGCTTTCTTCATTCCACTTGCAACCAGCATGAACATCAAAATAGTTTCTCTCTGGAAAGTGGCTGTTTGCGCCATTTTTCCCCCACTCATTTAAACACAAACACAGAGAGAGACCTCTCCCTCTCTCTTTCTCCCACTCACTTTCCTGTTTTGAACTTTTTCAATGGGATTTGATGCGGTTTGATTTCATTTTCGCACACGATGCAAACTTTTCAATTCGAAATATTAATAGATTAATGGGAAAAGTTCACTTCAATTCATGGTGATGCTGTTTTTTCGGTTCGATGCAAAAGTGCAATAATTAAAATGGATATTAGATTATACCCGGGAGTATTGTAGTTGATTGAACTCCATTGTCGACGCAATTCAACACGGTGAATTGATTGTTAAGTTTTCGCATTTTCGCGTGCAAACATTTCGCATTTTGAGTTATTGTTCGGGTGATGAAACTTATTATTCGAAAATGTAAAATCGATGGAAAATTGTTGTATATGTGATTGGTTTCAGGTAAAATGGATTTGATTGTTTAGAATAATTACAATGCGTGTATGTTTATTTGCAATGAATTATATCAACAAAAATCGAATCCATTTCATTTGTGATTCAATCGAAATATATCGAATTTTCCAAATCTTTTGGCATTTGGTGAGAATTTCATCATAATAGAATTTGAATATTTTTCCATTAACAATTGAGACTGTATATTTTGATTGTAAGCTTTGAATTATTTTCGATTGTGGTTAAGTCATGATTGTTCGTTCATTTTTGTTCAAGAATTCTCCTGAACAATTGCTACAGTTGATATTCATATTTGCAGACATGCATGTGCATTCAACAGAGATGCATTAAAATTTTAATGCATTGAATCAAAATCCAAGTATTCCTCGTGAAAACTGCAGATTTAATAAAATATTTTACGATATATTTTCATTTCCAATGTCAATTTTCCAGGTAAATTTTGCTTATATCACCATTAGAAAGTTCTGAGTAAAGTCAAACACAACTCCCAACGGTTATTAGTTTAATTGAACGTGCATAGAAAATTTAACGTAACGATAGTCTCGGCGCTGTATAAACTTGCCAACTTTATTTACTTAAAACACATGAAACAGGAAAAATGGCTGTCATTGCCAACGATCGACTTAAAAGCAATGCCAATTTAAAGCATGAAATAATGGCATCGACTCGCATTTTTACATACTTGATTTTTTTTTCAACTCTTTCACTCACTCAACGTGTTTTGTTTGCAATTCGTTGCTCGAATATTTTTTCTTGTTTCAGTCTATTTATTTGGTGTGATTGGGTTGCTGGAGGTGGGTGAACTGTATTCCATTTTCATTATTCAATTTACAGAATTGAAAGCGGTGGTATTGGGAACGGCCGATTTGTACGTGAAAACGGGCAGTGATATAAATTTAACGTGCAAAATATCAAAGGGTCCACATGAACTGGGAACCGTGTTCTGGTACAAAGGTATAGTATAGACATATGTGAATATAGTACAAACAATCTAGGGGATTCATGCCAAATTTTATTTAGCAAAATCTATTTGTATTATTTAAATCATGTAAAATTCACGCTAGATTTCAAATATTTTGTATTATTTCCCGAATGCGTTGTTATTGTTCATATTCACCTTGAACAATATGTTCTGGAAGTGGGTTTTGGTGGATCTTCAGGATGGATCAGACTAGGTTTGACAATGCCCTGGTCCATCCTGAGGATCCACTTCCAGAACCAGGAGCGGTTTTGAACAATCCTGAGGATCCACCAAAACCCACTTCCAGAATTTTCGAAGCGATAATGACGTCAACAGATTGGACATGGTTCTGCTGACAGTCGGTTTATTGAACAAAATTGAGCAAAATTGAAATTATGCATACATATCTGTTTAATATGTTGAAACATAAACAAATTCATATTATTTGTTCATATTTTAAATATGGAAATTGTCGTGAGGCCCCTAGCAAACAATGTAGTTTCGAGTTACATGACAATAAAACCAAAACAAAATTGAAAACAGATGTTTACTTATGACTTACGAATCAAATCTTCAAAGCGGGGTCAACAGCATAGTGTTCTCGTATTTATTGTCTATATTCGCAGCCTGATACACATCGGTAACAATTGTACCAATTAATTTTCCTATTCGAATCATTTACAGGCAATGCAATCATAGATTTAATCACGCAAGAAAATGACATTTATTCGGAAAATGTACAGCGAATATCAGTCGACACTGACTGGGCCGATGGATTGATCTCAAGGTAAATAACGTTTTTCTCATCCCTATTAAAGCGTTCTCACTCGTTTACACCAAAAATCGTTAGTTACTCTTCAAACAGAAGCAATTCACTTGCACTCTGTGAATGAACTCAGTATTTAATTGTTTGTGGTGCTTTCAAAATAATGTTATTTGCGACTTTCCCATTTTGTGCATTTCGTTTTTCGGGGATGGATTCATCGGTTGGGATTTTCCGTCACAGGCTGAAAATTCGTCAAGCTGTTCCAAACGACACCGGCAACTACACATGCGTTTCAACCATTGCACAAGCAGCTAGTGTTTATGCTCATGTTATCTCTGGTAAGTATTAACCCTTTGACGACCAAGATTGAACGGATGGGAATTTTGCAATTCTGATTGCAGATTCGTGCTCAGCGACCAATTACCAAAAACCATAATATTGGGTCATAATATTGGGTCAACAAAGTTTCCGCCGTTTTTTTTGTCTAAAAATACATTTATTGCAAAATAAATTGAAAATGTACATTAACCAATATATTCGCCATCGTTAGCTATGACTTCCCGCCATCTTTCTGGCAGCTTGTGGATTCCTCGTGTGAAGAAGTCTTCATCTTTTGAAGCTATCCAGTCATCTATCCATTTTCGTACTTATTCTTCATTTTGAAAGCGTACTTCGGACAGGGCCATTTGCATCGAACGGAACAAGTAGTAGTCAGAAGGAGCAAGGTCTGGAGAGTACGCGGGCTGATCAAGCCGATCCCAATCGAGCTGCTCTATCTTTTGTTTGACGATTTTTGCACGATGTGGCCTCGCATTGTCATCGTGGAACAAAACTTTGTGGTGTTTTCGGGCTATTAATGGCCGCTTTTCATCCAATGCATGAGCCAAATCATTCAATTGGCGTCGATAGCGTTCCTTATTAATCGTTTGATCTGGTTTTAGCAGCTCATAATACACGACTCCTTTCATATCCCACCAGATGCACAGCATAACCTTATCGCAATGAATATCTCGTTTTGGCTGGGATGGCGCCGGTTGGCCGGGATCAACATACGCTACTTTACGCTTGGGGTTTTCGTAATGAACCCACTTTTCATCGCCGGTAACAATCCGATACAAAAAACTGTTTCTTTTGTGCTCTGCAAGATGTTTTGTGCATATTGCGATTCGTGCTTGAAGTTGCTCTTCAGACAGTTGATGTGGAACCCATTTTCCCAGCTTCCGAATCTTTCCCATGGCATGCAAATGTCTGAAAATGGTTGTTTGGCCGACGTTTAACTGCAATGCAAGTTCTTTTTGCGTTTGGGTTGGGTCTTCATCCAATAATGCTTGCAAATCGACATCTTCAATCGCTTCTGGCCGACCTGAACGTTCTTTGTCTTTCAAGTCAAAATCACCACTTTTGAATCGATGAAACCATTCTCTGCAGCTTCGTTCCGATGGAGCTTGCTCGCCATAAGTATCTGACAGCATTCGATGAGCTTCAGCGGCAGTTTTCTTCGAATCAAATAAGAAAAGAAGGGCCCCTCGAAAAAACACCTTATCACGATCCATTTTCAATCGATTCAAAAACAATGACGCAGAACGAAAAATGAATCTTTCTGCTCTGAGTTAGATTGCTAAATGTCACATCTACGAAATGCAATTGGATTCACTTGTCAAGCTACGCTCAGTTACAAGTGGCGACATTTAAATGTCAGCGGCGGAAACTTTCGAATTGACCCAATAAAAATGTTATCAAAAATTAATTTTTTTAACTAGAAATATGAAAAAAAATGATGGGACATATATGTCCCATTGGTCGGTAACGGTAATTACCTTTATATGGAAAAAAATATGTCTCCCATAAGAACTACGCGTAAAATCTTTTTCGTTTTTAAAATATTCAGAATTGTTTTGAACCGAAAATGGTTTGAATTGTGCTTTGTTGTGCCCATTTAATCACAAATTTAATGATATTTTTGTAAATGTTTGTGTTTGAAAATTCGCGAATAATGGCCAAAATACAGGGAAATACGGGGTATTTATTTACCTTTACCAACCAATGGGACACATATGTCCCATCGCGCCAAACGCAATAAAAAGTGGAAAAAACGTTTTTTCTAAATAAAGTCGTTGATTTTTGGAAAGTAATGGACATTTCGCACATTATTCCAAATTTTCAGCTTTAAAAGTTCCACCGTTAAAATTATATAGCATTTGGCGAAAGTTGAAAAAAAAAGTTAAGATTCTTTGACTTTAGAGTGTTCTATCCAATTGCGTTTACAATAAATATCCAATATTATGGTATTTTCTGATAGCTACATTAATTCTCTTTCAAACGAAACCAATTTTACTAAAATTGGTTAAAAAATGTAGTTATTACAGATGAAAAACAAAATTGGACATATGTGTCCCATTGGTCGTCAAAGGGTTAACGGGAGTTTCTCCCTCTTTTTAGCACTACATGAAATGTAGAGCTACTAATCTGCTTTTCTTTCTTAATACTTTTTGAGTGATGAAACAAATTATGCTGAATTTGAATTTTATGCTCATATTTTTTATTTAATATAAAACAGTGGTACTAACGACAAATAAGTGCATAATATTTCAAAGCGCCAATCAAATTTTTATTATCAAATGTTGTTTAAAAATTACATTAATTTTTCGTATAGTATTTTTCTGAGTCTTGAACAGAATTAAAGTGATTTTAGATTCTATGCTCATATTATTTATTCAATTCAAACCAGAGTGTATTTCAAAAAATAATTAAAACCAAGATCATTGTAATTCATTTTTGAAATAACTGAGAATCTCTTTTCTATACTTTGTTGAAAATAAATATATTACTCCAAAGTTACTTTGATGAAATACATTTCATGATGTGCGCCAAAAAATAGTTTGTTGTGAAACAACAAAATAGATTAAGTAACTAAAATCTCATGAACGCAGAGTGGAGCGAAGTGACGCTTTGCGGTCTTGTTTTTTGGTTTGATTCGATAAATCACATAATGGCAGGAGTTGCGGCGTACAGGTGCATGATAACGATTCGAATTGAAACAATTTGGTTCTATGAACAAACAGGAAAAGCAAACAAATTTCGTGAAAATGTGAACACGATTAAGCTAAGATCGTTCAGTGCTCTGTAGATTTGTGAGAGAATTGTGCTGTTAGAAAAAGCTTGTTCGGGAAAATAAATTTAAAGCATATTGAATAAATGAGAGAAAATTCTCACTCGAGTTGAACTCTCGGAAAGCTCTCGAAAAGTTTTTCGAAGTGGATTCGCTTGAGAGCTTCGATTATTATTTGAGAAGAAGCACACATGCATTCGAGCACATTGTTTGCGAACCCAACGACGCGCTCGACTGCATATTTTCATTGGGCTAATGAGATTGAATTAAAAGACAACATGTGAAATCAATATTATTTCAATCCGACAGCAATATGAAAGAGCAATTTATTACTTTTTAGATAAATTGAAATATATATTATATTATGAAATGACACTTGAAATTGAATTTACGCCCGTTTTTGATCTTCCTCTTTCTCTTTCTTTCTTCTGTGTTTTCTTTTCTTTGGTTCGGTTTGTGAATGCTAGGTTCACTCGCGGAGCATCCAGCGGCCATGCAACATAACTCGGCCAATATGCAGTTTGTTGAGCAGCCAACGTTGGTTTTGCCCCTGGTGACGATAGCAGCGGGAGGAGCGGCGGCAATTGCAACAAATCTTATGGATGCTGCAGTGGCCGTCATCACGAGCATTTTACTCGAAATTTGGATAGTTTTAGCACGATTTCAGAAAAATTTATTTAACACATTGTTGTGGCCGTCGGCATCAGTTTGGGTTGTAAGATGAAATTATTCTACTGCGGCGGGAAATGAAAACAGAAAACAGAATAAAAACAAAATGAAGATGATCCATGCAAGAGTCGGGTAGCTGTTATATAATCACAGTACCTCGCCTCCATCACACAGCAACAAACATTTCCACAAATTTCACATTTTCACGTACATATTCTACTGTGCTCAACTCGAACGTTTTCGATAATTGTGTGTTCAAGTTCATGTTATACACTCGATGTAGATTATCCGAACCCGTAAAAAAAATACAGCAAGCAACGAACGGCAACAGACAAAATTTAACACGCAGTCAAATGCATGCTCGAAAACTCGAATTATCTGCCACATACACACATTCACACATATGCACAAAAATCACATTTTACCTTGCAATTTTCTTGATCCGTCGGTAAGCTTTTTCGCGTTTTGTGTTCAACGTACGTACTCCCCTCCCCTTCCTCTCCATACACAAGCCGCATATCCACATCTTCCTTTTCTTTTCGGTTTCGTATTATTGGCGGAAATTCTTTCTGGCTCACCTCATTTGATAACAAAACCATTGAAACGAATATGTTTGCCTTGTATTTTGCAGCTACCATGACTTTAAATTACAATTCAGTTGTTGCGCTCGATACCAGGTGCTACCGTGTATTTCTCATGAAGAAAGCAGGAAAAAACAAACAACACACACACATACACAGCGAAGCTTCAAACCGTACAAGTAAACAAAAACATTTCTTGATGTATGTGCGAAAGAAAATAACACATTGGTAAAACTGATTTGGTTCTTCGTTTTGTGGCTTGCAAGTGTGGATTTGAGCGTTTGGTTTTTCTTCACTGTCTGTTGCCGAAAGAAAACTATTTGCGAATAGAGAAACAGCGAATAAATTGAAAATATGCAAGACATGCGAGAACAAGTTGCAGCTTACTATTTTGCAAAGAAGCAGAAAGAAAATAACAGGAACAGTGGAAACTAGCTGAGAGGGAAATTATAGTATATACATATGTGTGTAAGTAAGTCTAAATCGCAAACCAGTTTAACACAAAACATTCATCCCAAGTAGTAGATGAACTCATTGAAGCGTTTCACTTATTTTTCGATGTTGGTTGGTGTGTATGTGTGTGTGTGTGTGTGTCGTTATTCGGCTTTCACTTTTCAAGTTAAGTAAAATGCTCCAATTATGTCGTAGCAAGCTGAATGGATGGCTGCAGCCAAAGTGCGAAAGAACGATGGCATGAACATGTCTACGATATCTTAAATGGCGGCGTTAATCTCAAACTTTTGCTAGTTTGAATATACATATGAATGGATTTTGAGCATTACAAATAACTCACTTTCCATAGTTAAATACCACAAATAGTTTTTGGATATTATGTCCTGATCACATGTTCACACAACCATTCACACAACGGTGTTTATAAAATAGCTCGTTCGCAACACCATCTATCTGTCTTTCTTTCCATCCAATTGCAAACTAATAACATCTTTAGTGCAATGGGGTCTTGATTGTTGAAGAAGGTTATCATAAAATGCGGTACAAATTTCGAGTCTAAAGAGACAGGGTGAGAAATAAGTCTGTTGGCCAATTTTCATCCAAACATTTTGCAGGTTGGGTTTTGAGGCATAATCAAGTTTTCGGTTGGATTTGGAAAATATGGCAGGTCATTTGTTAATCAATATGTGTGTTTGTGTATATATATATATCGAGAAAATCAAACTACATAAATTCCCAGAAATAAGGTGAATTACATACCCATCTCTTTCACATGTAATCCACCGTGAGATTTTCAATGTCACGGCCAGAGATAGGTGCAGCTTTCCAAATGAAATAGTCCGAATGTAGTAAAACTCTAACAGTTAGATAGGAAATACATTGAACCAGATATTATATTAGTATAAGAATTCGGGGAATGGCGTGTGTGATATAATAACGATCTATGAACTGAAATGACAATACCAAATAAATACAGTTGATATGTACGTGAATTTAATTGGTAGATTCTCATGGCCAGTGCAACAAATTAATTTGTAAATTTAAAATCAAATAAACGAAGCAAAATAATAAAAGGTGAAGAAGAAAACACTTGAATAAGAGAGGAATTATGTACTACAACCCAAACATATGCACTTACAAATAATAGCACATAACAATTGCATAAGGATTTAAATAAAAATAACAAATAAATTGTATGCATGTATAAGTAGTAGATTTACGAAACAAAAACAAAAACAAAAACAACAACAAAAACCATTTATTTCATATTGTACTACTCAAATTACTTTTAAAAATAATCATCTGTTAAGTCGATGTAAGCGGCCGTCGCGCAGCGAAAATAAATGAACATAAAATCAAAATTAAATTTAAATGAAAAATAAAACATCCTCACAGAAACCGATAAAATCAAGCATGTAGCATCTCACTTTTATCGTTGTAAAACTGAAAAAAAACGAAGAAGAGAAAACAGGTGAACAATAAATAGCATTTGTTATTCATAGTTTGATGATGATGAAGAAAAAAAACGGGATGAAAAGGGGTGCAGTAACCAGAACAACACTGTTCACTGCACTCAAGTGCATACTGAACAACAGCAAACAAATATTAGACAAACAAACACAAACGATGCTCAGAATACAAAATCTTGAGACAAAGAAAGCGAACAAATTATTATAATCCATTTTAGCTGAAAAAAAAATATATCAATGTTTCCTTCTATTCATCCCACGTTCCTTCAGTAACAATGGCGACGGCTCTTCCAAAAAAAAAAGTTTAATACATTTGTTATTATGATCTGTATCGCCCGAGAATTGGTAAAAACTCTTTTTTTCCTCGGTCGAACGAAGTGAAAACCACCAAAGTGATTTCGTAGCGTTCATTTCAACTATCAACAATATTGATATTTAAAGAAAATATCTGTTTTTTTTTTCTCTGAGAAAGATGAATAAGATCTATGACATAAAAGATGAATCGACAAGAAATATACAACATCCACCTAGAATGTAATCAAATTTCACCTCAACATCTCCCATGCAAATCAAATATGATTTAAAAAAATTAGAAACCTAAATGATGCAAACGCAAAAAAGAGATGCATAAAGAAGAAGAAGAAGAATAAGAAGAAAAAAATTCAATAAAAACAGACCAAATCAACATTAACATTATGGAATGGCATAAACGTTGAACTTCAAGTCATACTCTCTCAGTTATTATAGAATATAGGACATAGAAATGTTTTCTTTTTCTGTGCGCAATTTTATGTATGTGCAGTTTTAATAAGACAAACAAATAAAAACAAATCCATTTCATGCTGGTTTTCTTTTGACAAATTCCCTGCATTTTTAGTACTTAACAAATGCGAAACGTTGGACGATGACACACAATCAGAAATTATATGCGGTTCTGTCCGTTTATTATTTCATTCCACCATCAATGCATGAATGCGTTGAGAGAGAGAGAAGACTTAGTTTGGCGTTATTCATTTGTGTATCTCTCCAGGCACAGTGCTACGTCGATGCGCAATGCTTGACTCACTTAATTTCACATCTCTGAACCACACACACACAGCTCGGCATACGGATCATATTCAGAAGCTGAGACGCATGCAAAAAAATAAATAAATACGGTTTCACAACGAAGACAAGAACAACGAAAAAAAAAACCAGCCGAGTTTTCTTCATCCCGAGGCTAAGAGGGTGAAAAATGCCTGTTGAAATGTTTTTCATTTCACTTTATATTTCGACAATAATGACGACTATTTTCCCCCTCCTTTATTTCTATTATGATAGTTAACAATAAAACAAAATCATAAAGGAGAACGAACAACGAGGAGAACAAAAGAGGACAAACACTCGTTGTGTTGCTTCATCGTTTCATTCATTCCATCTTGCAATAGGCAATGTTTTCGTGTATGTGTGCATTGTACACTGTACACTTTGTATTGCACTGCACATCAGGTGAGTACAGTAGTCATTTGTGTGCATGAAGGCTGCTGAATGGATTTTCCTCCGATAAGAATCGGTATTTGTATTGTATGCAATCGTTCAATGAAAATGCAAGAAGAATAACAGAATAAGAAACTTGCCCATAAAATCATTTCAACGAGGACAACGGCCAAGCTTTGCATCGGTAGCAAAGAATGAAACAAACACAGGATTGAAATCAGAATAAACTCTTTTTCTCTCCGTTCGGTTTATTGTTTTTTTTAAATTTCTACTTGGATGATTTCTCTTCGTAAGCATTGCGTTGCGGACATTGGCCAATTCTTCGGGCATTGAAGTACAACCAAATTACTAGAATAGACATTATGATCACATTTAATTCTGTTTTATTCATTTATCCTAGCACATAGTTTAGCCAGGATTATTGAAACTTTTTTTCTAGTGTTGCCGTCATCGTGCGAAACATTTCTGGAATATTGCAAAGAATAGTGATAAAAGGACATGCACAAATATGTGAATGGTTTGAATGAGCGGAAAAGGGATAGCTATATAGTAAACTGTATAGTAAACTATAGTGAACTATATACCTATCTCTTTTCATTTGACATTTTTCCGCTCAACTTTTCTGTATTACATTTTCGCTCCAAACCATTCATCTGGTAGTTGTTACCATTCTGAATCAGAATTTCTGATTGAAAATCGATCTGTGGAAGCGATTATATGTACAGGCTTTATAAAATGATTCCTACGGATCAAGAATGATGTAGAATAATATCTTGATGCTTGTTTTATTATGAAATTAAAATCAACTGCATGCTTTTCGTTTGCTTTTTGCTCCGTTTTTGCTGAATGCTGGTCGCTTTTCCTCCGCTCTTTTTACCTCTACTGCAAAGTTGAGGCGAGCATAAGTATGTGAGTCGATTTTTTATTTGACATGATCTTTTACATTAATTTATAGTTTATTCATCCATTTGAATCAGAGGTTGGTTGCACATAAATTTATTTATATAAATTTCAAATATCAAATGAATTTATCCGATATTTTTCATGCGTTGTGTTGTTCTAACGCATTTGCCAGCTATTTATCGCTGGAATGAGATTTTCGTTTTGTTCTTTTACCGCTATTTCTCAACAATTCTGCCACTGTGTCACTACATAGCATGTATAGTCCATAAGAAATGTGCAGAGACGAAAATGTTCGCCTTTTAGTTTTACATTGCCAATACATTAGTTATGGAGATTTTTGTTTTGTTTTTTTGTTGTTGTTTGTAAACAAATTTGCCTATCTTTTTGTATTGCCACTGTACATACCATATGTCCATAAGAAGTGTGTAGAGACAATGCAAAAAGATATGCAGATTTGTTTACAAAAAAAAAAAAAAAAAAACAAAACAAAAATCTCCATAACCAATGTATTGGCAATGTAAAATTAAATGGCGAACATTTTGCACAACTGTGCAACATTTTTTCGGTCATGGAGGAGGGACTCACTTTTGATAATCGCTGCTGAAAGTACTTACCAAAACTAGAATTTCTGCATCATTCGTTTTGCCAAGAAATTATGTATTTTTTGCTCAAACTGGATTTTGAGCACTTTTTCGATATTTTGAGACGGCTATATCTCGGTAAACCGTAAGGAATATTGCTTTTATGTTTTCAGCAAAGTTGTAGGTATTGAATGGGAAAAAAAATGCAAAACAAACTTACCACAAAAAAATTGCATCTAGGGCCTCAAAATCTTAGAAATGCCCATTTTTCACCATTTTTCAACCATAACTCGCAGCGTATCCAATTTTTATGGCCACTATCTTCAGCAATTTTGTAGTCAACGTATAACTGGACAACTTTGCTCAACATACTAACCCAAGAAAATCATGTTCTATCTACCTTTTTTGCTCAAAATCACTCTTTGATACCAAAAATGGTAATTTTCTTGAAAACTTTGGCCTATTACATGCAAATATCTGTATATCTTTCTATATTTTACGCTTTTATTTTCGTTGAAGTGTCTCTGCGGATAACGTGAACTCCTTTTTAAGCTAGTTTAGTGGAAAAAATCGCTCATTTGTAGGGATATTTCGAGTTTTGAACCGATTTTTGAGCGTTTGGTGGAGATTTGGCCAAATGAAGTCATGACAACAGCCATATTTCAGTTTTTAATGTATGCTATATTAAAGCTTATGTTCACAGCTAAACAATGGGGCCAATACAATTTACCTATGATGTCCAGTTGGAAAGTTATGGCTCCCCAAGTGATGACATGTCAACTTTTTGCACTATTTTGCACTAAATATCACCTGAGGAGCCATAACTACTCAACCAGACATCATAGGCATATGGCATTAGCCTTATTTTTCAGCTAAGAACATCAGCTTCAAAATTCCATACCGCCAAAACTGAAATATATCATATGTCATGACTCAATGTTGACCAAACCACCAAAAATTGGTCCAAAAACCAATTTTTCCATAAAAATGAATTTATTTCCTCTCAAATATTTTACCAGCAGATTGGACCATGAAAGATGATATATTTCAGTTTTAGCGGTATGGCATTTTAAATCTGATGTTCATAGCTGAAAAATAAGGCTAATGTTACATGCCTATGTCGTCTGGTAGGATACTTATGGCTGCCAAAGCGATGATTAGTACCAAAATATTGCAAAAAATGAACATGTCATCACTTGGGGAGCCATAACTTTCCAACTGGACATCAAAGGTGGTAAACATAAGCTTTATTGTAGCATACATTAGAAACTGAAATATGGCTGTTGTCATGACTTCATTTGGCCAAATGTCCACAAAACGCTCAAAAATTGGTCCAAAACTTGAAATATCCCTACAAATGAGCGATTTTTTCCACTAAACTAGCTTGAAAACAAGTCCACATTATCCGTGGAGACACTTTAATGAAAATAAAAGCGTAAAATATGGAAAGATATACAGATATTTGCATGTAATAGGCCAAAATTTACAAGAAAATGACCATTTTTGGTAACAAAGAGTGATTTTGAACAAAAAAGGTAGATAGAACATGATTTTCCTGGGTTAATATGTTGAGCAAAGTTGTCCAGTTATACGTTGGCTACAAAATTTCTGAAGATAGTGGCCATTAAAATTGAATACGCTGCGAGTTATGGTTGAAAAATGGTAAAAAATGGGCATTTCTGCGGTTTTGAGGCCCTAGATGCAATTTCTTTGGGTAAATTTGTTTTGCATTTTTTTTCTCCCATTTATCACCTACAACTTTGATGAAGACATAAAAGCAATATTCCTTACGGTTTACCGAGATATAGCCGTCTCAAAATATCGAAAAAGTGCTCAAAATCCAGTTTGAGCAAAAAATACATAATTTCTTGGCAAAACGAATGATGCAGAAATTCTAGTTTTGGTAAGTACTTTCAGCAGCGATTATCAAAAGTGAGTCAGTCCATTATGTGTTGCACTGTGTTATGGACTATATATGCTATGTAGTGACACAGTGGCAGACTTGTTCACAAATATCGGTAAATTAACAAAACAAAAATCTCATTCCTGCGATGAATAGCTGGCTGCCAAAACAACAGCCGATGTTTCGTTTATGTGCTACGAATGCGTCAGAACAACACAACGCATGAAAAATATCGGATAAATTTATTTGATATTCGAAATTTATATAAATAAATTTATCGGCAACCAACCTCTGATTTGAATTATCTATTGGATTGACATGCCATTAAATTCGAATGGGGAGCCCCATATGCACGTGAAGAAAAATATGAAAGTGTCTTAAGGAAGGGAAAAAAATTGTATATGAATGAGTATGTATATATGGCAGAATCTCGCTGACTCAATGTGACTGAAACCGTTCATGTGGACGTGCATTGCTGCAAATATTCCTCGATTGTTTTTTTGTTATTGTTGAAAACTTTTCATTTCTCCGCGAGCAGGCAGAGAGAAAGAGTAGACGAAAGAGAAATGAATGAGACTGAGAGAGAAAATGCATTAAAAGGAGAGATTAAGAGAAAACTCGGTAATTCCAGTTGCAAGACGCGGAAAATTTATTATACTTTTGCGTTGGTGTTCTTGTTTATTGTTGTCATAGCTCGTCGTGTCTGATTATTGTGCCATTTGTTTGTTGCCTAGTCACCATTCAGTAAGTGTGTTCATTGCCTCAACAACTCCAGTAATAACTCGAGTTACCAAGTTTTCTGCAAGCTTTAGACTAATAAAAACTTTTCTTTGTTTCATGCATAATTTTTGTGTGATCTATTTTTGTCTTTTTTTCTTTCTACCCTGTCATTTTGAGGATACCATCGTGGAATATCCGGTTTATATTTAGTACGTATTCACTTCACACAAGAGGAAGAAAAAGCGAAAGAAGAGGAACATTTGGCATTCATATATCACTTAGAATCTCTTTTCCTATTATTTTTTTTTGTTTACGCTCGCCAGCAACCATTCTGCATGTCAATGTTCTTAATCAAGCTGATGATGATTTCATGTGCCAAGAAATTAGTTGTGCGATGATATTTACATAAGTGTGAACAAATGCCACCTTGCATTGCCTCACATAATGAAAATGCATTTTGATTTTGCCCTTGGATGGAAGAGTTTTATTCGTCAAAAAATAAATATCGTACAAAACTATACATATGAATTGTTCATTTGTTTGGTTTTAACAAATTTAAATAGAAGTTTTTTTTTATATATTTTTTTAAAATAAATTGATTTACTAGTTTGCTTCGAAATAACTTACAATTTTTTCTGGGGGGGTACAAGTGACCATTGCCTCACAAAATGGAGCCTTTTGTCAAAAATCATTAAATTTTTCTTTTCTTTATTTGAGCAATTCCAAAAAAGCGTTTCAGACAATTTTTTCAACAATAAATTCTGAATTTGGTCTTAGCTGACATTAATCTTAAAAACATTTTTGAATGCCGCTACCATCGCATAGGAGAGACAGCGTTCGAAAAATTAATATTGAGTTTAAATTCCAATTTATTCGATTCATATTCAACAACAATTTTCGGTCGATTCTCTTACTACTGTCCGATTATTTCGTAAAAATCTCTTGATTCTACTCATTTTCTTTATTTGATTTGCTCTTCGTTCTCTATTCGATCGAGTCGCTTGTTAAATGTTTAATATTGTCATTATCACAATTGAAAAACTAATGAATAAATTACACGTGTTTGTTTTGTTGCAATGCACATTGATAGAATTATTACATCATTTTCCCTTCAAATTTGGTGTCTTTCCATTCGAGCCCTCGTCCGTGTGGTCAAGCTTAATTATTTCACATGCAATTTAAATGTTAACATAGATCGAAACAAGAAAAAAATCGAATTTGATTAGGTTTAACAATTGTGCTATTGAAATTAAATTCGCAGTCTTTTCAGTAAATTTGCTGATTACTTAATGCACGTTAAAAATAGAGCGATGCAGCCTTCCATCCGGTGCACAAATTGTCCTATTGTAAAATTCACAGACTAATTTAGATTTTTCCCGAACACATACTAAAAGCACGGCATTTACATGCATGTGTTTGACGTTTAAAAAACAAAAAAACGAAGAAAAAAAATTTTCAATTTTCACAAATTTAGTCATTATTTTGCCAATTTACATAGAAAGGCTTGGAAGCACGGTAAGTTAAACTGAAGAAACCCATTTTCATCTAAAGATGCGTATTTGCGTTACATTATTTAAATCGTATCACTTTGTTTATCAGCATGATGGTGAACACATCGTTTGATGCTATGATGTTGATGAGAAACCATTTCGATGCATAAAATATGTGTGTGTGTTTGTATGCGACGATTGAACAAAAAAAAGGCAGACATATTTTCTACGATTGTTGATTTACAGCTTTTCGGAGCTATGCATTTCAATGAACATTTCGAGTTGCTTGGGTACGATGTCTTTGTATGGTATTTTGTGTTGTGCAATGCATCTGGAAGCAAGGCATCGTAGACTCACTTCGTTAAATTCATATCGTCGTAGCAACACTTGGATAAATGCTATAACATTCGTTAGCGAAACAAAGAGAGAAAAAAAACATAAGAATAGCGAGACAATAAGATATAATGATATACGTGTCAAATGATTTGTTTAAGACCACGATTTGCAACGGTGGAAAATGCGAATACATACGTGATGTGCAAATTTGGGCAGCAGTTAGTCCTTCAACGTTAACCGCATCCATATGAATGCCAGCCTCAATGAACATGTCCGTAATTTCTCTGATGGTATCGATATCGACTTGCGGATCAGGCATACGAAAACTCAACTGTAATGAGAAAATCACAACAACCACAAACGATTACCACCCGCGATCAGATTTAGCGTTGTGACATTTGAACTTACCGTGGCGGTGAGGGTGTGTAATGGTGAATTACGACCGCAATCTAGCACCGTTGTCGAAGCACCACAATCTAATAACAATCGAACGGTATCGATGCACGGGAAGCGGCACACATCACTCGTATGAAAATCGTCCACCGACATCACACCATTCACAGCTAAATGAAGGAGCGTTTGACCGTCTCGCAATTTCAAATTCATTTTGTTCAGTGTATAGACCAGTCGGCCGGATTTTTTACGATCTTCACATGTGATTTTTGAATCCATTTTCATCAATTTCGTTAGTATGGTGCAGAGATACAGTGCCGTTATAATATTCATTTCAAATTCTTCCATCACGATTTCGACATCGTCTTTTGGCCCTGGATTCAGGAATTTCTCTTTGTTCACTTTTAACTCACGTATGCATGCAGCCAACACAGCCAGCACCTACAAACAGAACATCGAACAACAACAAAAGAAAACCCGACATAAAAGCGGTTAATTAAAATTGCATCATTTCCGGGATTCAATCATATTGAGCGGCTTGGAACTTACATTATGTATGCGCAACGGAACCGAAACGTGCACCATCTGAGAGAACACTTGAGCAAATCGCAATAGATCTCGTTGCACCGATAACTATAAAATAAAGTATTCATTCAATATGGAATGCAGTTAATTCGCAGTGTTCTTTTTGTTAATGCATCTTTTCATCTCATTTTCTTGGAATTGCACCGCACAGCAATTAAAACAATTCATGATGCAAATCGAAATGAAGCATTCATTATGACATCCATAGAGTGGCAAGTGGATTAATTGATACGGCCATACTTACGTTGTTATTTTGCCGTAGCTCAAGCGCGTGTAGCCATAAACTCTCGCATCGGTCAAACCTCCCATTGTCAGCGCAGACAGCGCCTCGAAAAACGATTGGATGGGCCACGTCCGGGCATTTCGTTGTCAAAATTCGTTCGCGTATTGTCAAACTCTCCATGTGAATTGAGTTATGATTAAATCGGATCGCTTGCAAATCCTGAACGGTCTGGCTTTCAATCCAATTTTCATATGCAGGTACTGGTGTGATATTTTTTTTCCGAATCACATTTTGTGGATCTTCATATCTGTTTATGCATCAGTGGGTTGGTAGCGCCAAAAGGACAGCAATCAACATTATCGTCATCAACAACATCGAGCCAGTGTGGGATTTAGAACAAAACAAAAAATGCCAAGAAACAAGATAAACAAATCCAAATGTCAGTTCAAATAGCTCAATTTTGATGGGATGGCTTGACTTAACAAGCGAATGAATCAGTTGGAAATTGGTTTTGATATACGAACCTCAGTTCCATAGCTAACAGTAAATAATGATAGGCTTTGTTGAGGCTATAATTATCTTTGTCGTTGGCGAATGATGCGCCCATTAACTCTAACGCGTCTATTTTCTAGAATTTGAGAAGAGAAAAGGCGCCAAATTGAAATCAGATTGAATTTTCTAAAATGTGTATATGTATTCGATGTGCGCTTTTTCCCCCCAACCCCAACACCTGTGCACTGCTTCAATCAAATTCAGACGCAATTGAATTGGGTTTTTTTTTCTCGTGTTTACTCCATCTCTGTGTGCAATTGCAAGTGAAAGCGAATGCTTTTAGCACATCGAGAACAATGGAAAAAGCTACACTTATGAAACACACATACAGACACGCACACAAAACATAATACTTTAAGCCGCTTATGAACGGTTTTTACCTCTTCCTTTGTCAATAGATTGGGTCGTCCATAAAACAATTCTACAACTAATTCTCTGGTGCGTTCGGCGGCCGTTGTTACAGCTGTCATATCGAATTCATTTCGCTTTAGTGTTGCCCCATAGTCGAGCAGTGCGGCACAGATATCCACATGACCACATTCAGCTGCATAATGTAAAGCGGTTGCACCACAAAGGGCTTGTTGATCGGGATCAGCACCGTTGCTTAATAAAAACTCAACAACGTCTGTATGACCTTTGTATGCTGATATCATCAGACACGTATTATTGTACACGTTGGCTAAATTGATTTCGGCACTGTGGGCCACCAAATATTTTACTATATCTAAGTGTCCTATGGAAATTTGGAAAGAAGAGAAAAAAACAAAAGAAACGAAAAAAATCAAACAAATATTAATTCAATTCGTTGCATAAAGAAAAATATCGGTTTATTAGTTATTTCGGTGTGATTTACAACTCGAGAGTCAAAACAAATTTGGAACGAATTTTTCAGTTTGAGCGCATTCAGAGAATAAGAGTGAGACAATGAACAAAACAAACCAAGTGCCCACCAAATTTGAGACGAAATTCCCGTTTTTAATCTCAAATGAGAAAAGTTTGTCATTTGAATTATTCAAATTATCAAAATAACACCGTGAAATCCCAAAAGAATTAAATTCAAGAATTTTCCATTTTCTTTTGCAAATGATTTACACTGCGAAAATTTTGGTGTTGAATTTTTTTGCAATTTTGTTTTCATTCAAATGACAATGACACTGCGTATAAATGGGCGCTTTAAATTCCGTGGAAATGTGCACATTTATCAATCTCGTGTGCATGTGTACGTGAGCATTTTCCTTTTTTTTGCCTGCTTGCTATCTCTATGTCGTTGTTTCGTCCGTTTGTTCATTCGCTCACTATTTTTTCGACGCCATTTCTTGCCACGTAGACATTCCTTACCTAAATGCCTTGTTTCGGAATGTTTACTTCAAAATGAATAATATAAATATTAAAAAAACCAAAATTTTGCGCATCACTTAATTTTAATTGTGTTTTTCCCGCTTTCCTTTTTCTCGTTACAAAGAAATGATATCGAGCCGTGGCGCCGCTATGAAAATTATACACGCTTACACGCACATCGATTCAGAGGGCACGTCATTTTTTTCCTATTTGCGTCGTTCTGGATTTTGACTCTTTTTCATTTGGTAAACTATTGCTTAAATTCTACAGTAAAACATAGTGAATCGGGTTGATTGATGGGTTTAGATTTAATAGTTAAAATAACTTACCATCGAAACAAGCGGCCCGCAATGGAGTTGAATGTGTTTTTGTTTTGTGATTAACATTAGCACCGTATTGAATAAGCAATTTGATGACGTTTAGATGTCCAGAGCCCGCTGCACACCATAAAGCCGTTGCACCGTGTACAATGTGACCATCAAATTTGACGACACACTCTTGTTCAATGTTTGGCTTAAAATTATTTAAAATGGTCTTGACTACTTTATAACGACCGTTTCGTGCTGCTATCACCAATGGTGTGAACGATTGGCCATCCTCTTCTACAATCTGCTGTCACCAGTTGAGCATTTAAATCGGAACGAAAACCATTGGAAAAAAAAATGAAAAGGAGAAAAGCAAAGAGAGAAAAAAGAAGTGCACTCGTTAAATCCTTAATTGAATTTTAAACATCAATGCGCAATGAATGGGATGACGAATTGCTTTTGCTAACAATTAACTCAATAAAGCTTTGATGACAGATTCCTGAACATCAACAATTAACTAATTAAAAAGAAACGGAGTGTGAGACACATTTACTTGGCTATTGTCATTCATCGGATGTCAACTCAATTACGGTTCTTGCTTCGCATCGTCGATTGAACGAAGCCAAAATGAAAGAAAGAAAAACTTAAATAAATAAAAATAAATGAACTACGTGAAAAGATGACATTGTCTTGGCGATTCTATCGAAACGGTACAGACGCAGTGAGGTCCAGATCTATTTTTAAGCGTTCAATTGAGAGAGTATGTTTCATTTTCAGCTGATCGCTATTGCCGCCTTCGTCGCCACCGCCGGAGTTTTCCATTTGAAATGTTCAATGCCATCGCTTGCTTAAAATTCCCATGAAACAAATTCGCTGCAAATTTGTTTTGATCGAAATGTTTTCGTTTTTTCTTTGGTGATTCGATGTTTATTGACATTTTACGAGCTAAATAAAAACATGCTTAGACGCACACACTCTTGTTTGTAATGAATTTTCCTATTGAGATTTGAAGTTTTCCGCAACATTCGTCGCCATTTCTCCGGAATATTTTTGGACGACGGCATGTAAAAACTGCGCAATAAAACAACGGCATTCTCATATGATCACGTGAAAATAGCAAATGTGAAAAGTGCTTTTTGCGTTACCTCTCTCTCTCTCTCTCTCCCTCCCATCATCCCTCTTCTACGCGACGCTTTTCTTGTTTCACACACAGAAATAAAATGTCGTCTTACTTTTGATCGTTGGTTTTTCCCCACTGTTGTAAGACTAAATTTAGCCGGTTGTATTTCATTTTCCGTACAAAGGAAAACCATTTTACGTGTTTTATTTTCATGTCACATTTCGAATGCTTGAATGCGATGTGAAAATGGCGGGTGGAAATGCAATAGATGTGCGTCTAATAACCTTTCTTAATTCACATTCGTTTTCTTTTTCTTGACACGCTTCACTCCCGTGCCCGAATCACTTGACTGAGAGATGATCGGTCACAATGCTCACGGTAATTGTTGAATTCCGACCAAAATCATTTCGACTCAAGTGAATTGACGTGACTTTTGCTCATTATTTTAGCATTTTGCATTATGATTGCAATAATTTTCTATCGTTAACACGTAAAAAAAGCATTCAAATTTTTCGTAATCATATCGCATACCAATAAACAAACAACTCAATTGCTACTGGCGCTGAATCACGGTCCGAATAAACGATTGAATTCCAATGTTATGATTTATCTGTTGATGTGCACAGTTCAGTTCATTGGTACCTATAATAAATCATAGCACACTGTGTATTTGTGTGTTTGTATACTTGGGGCTTTTTCGCTCTCTTTGTTTCATTTCAGATTAAAAATTCTCTTGTTGCAACGCCAAAAATTGTGTCATAAATTGTAATTCGCTTCCCGTACACGACATTTCGCTCTTTTTTTTCCATATACTCCCATATAATCACCCTGGGCCAAGCGATAGCGATATTCATTTGAATAATATTTTTCAAAGTGGAATGGAACGCACTTTGGAGCAGCCAAAATGGCATTTCCATTGCATATCAAATATCTCACATGTACATCGAAACGGTCAACAACAAAAAGAAACACATTCTCAAGCAATAAATGCGTACTCTGTACTGGGTGCGTTGGTGATATGAGACAACAGAAAATAAACACAGACAGCAACGGAACAAAGGGAGAAAAAAAAACGCAGAAGAAATGCAAATTCGGCTATTTTTAATTCAATTCGATTCGACCAATAATCCAATTGGTTTTTGCATTAAGGCTGTAATTACTTGCATTGTCACGTTCATTAAAACAAAGTATACACCGAAATGTACGTACACGTTACAATCGGTTGCAAATCGCAAATGATGAATTGGATGCACGCGGTGTAAGCGCACACGCTACGCGCTCACATTAAATGCGTTCGTTGATTGCGTTCGCATGCATATTCGTCAAAAGTCCAAAAATCGTGGCTGTGTGTAACGGATTTTTGTGTTAAGCACCCCAAAAGTGTTTGTTATTGCATTCGCAAACGAATCGAATGTACGTATTCAATTGTTATTATACAATCACACGAAAGCATGAACATAAATTTGTGCAAATTGAAATGAAAGCGTACATATTGGACGATGTGTGCGCACATGACCCAACCAATCTGCTCGTCTCGCTTACTCTCCCACATTTTTGCCGCTTCGTCTTGCGCTTGTTCTTTACCATAGCAATTGAGTGTGTAATATGCTTGTTTCTTGCAAATGCACGTCGGCGATTACAAATGTTGACCTTGTTGTTGTTGCTGCTGCTGCTGCTGCTGCTGCTCATTTCTTGAGTTTGTGCACTTAATTTATTTATTTTTAACATTACCGATACGGATCGCAGTTTTGGGCAAGTGTGTGCGTCAGAATGGGCCAGAGAGTAGCAAAACGAATTTCAAATGAGACGGCTTCTGAATGTACTGTATCGCTTTGCCCGAATTTCTAATGCATTCTCAATCAATCAAACGGTGCAAAGCTATTAATTTGATTGCGTCAAACAATTGACAGCTTAAAGTCGATAAAAAATAACTGTATACACGTTGCACTGTGTCGACGTTCACTTCGAACGAGGCGGATCAATCAAAGGACACAGAATGAAACTGGACGAGCCCATGTGTCCGTTGTATTGGTAAAAAAAATTGCTTTGGAATAAATGGTGCAAAAGGATCACTTACAGCACACAACACACTGAACCAAATGACAAGGCAACCGGGTGATTGGCAGCGCATCGTTAAATCGTTATTGTGCTTTTGGTGGCAATGTACGACTGTAAATAAGTGATCGAGCGCCCTCACTCCCGCTTCAAATCACACATCAATATATGGCCAAGTCAATGCCCTGCCAATGTCGTATTTCAAGAAGCTAGAAACAAACGGCCGCCGCTGTTGTCGCCTACAGTGCAGTGGCTCTCCTTTCGGCTCTCGCTTCTTTATTCAATTTATTCTGATATTATTTTATCATATTATTTGTATTCGAGCGAACATACAAATTTTATTGAAACTGCATCGTGAGCTAAGGAGCAAAATCATGAATCACGACAAACAAAAAACGAGTACAAGGGCAGTCAATGATTGCTTGAACGATTGCTTCAATGTGCAACTGTATTACATTATCCTTTGATGCAACTGCCTACCATTCCCATCATCTGCTGTATAATGCAATTTGCGAAATTTTTCTAATCAATATTTACCTTTTCTTCACTTCAGATTGATAATTGTGTGTACAAAAATTGATGATTAGTTGACAATGAAAATGAGTTCAAAGTGCCAACGTATTATAAAGACAATGGCGCGAGGACGTCGATAACAAATACTATTCCGTGAAATTGAAATTGAAAGTGAAGGTGTGTGTTTTGCACTCGAAAGAACTTCAGGTATTTTCGTGCTTTTTGACAGATGTACTAAATTGAATGTTTTCTATGTCGTCATCTGGTTGGTGATACTAATATCTTCTCGCACGGTTCTGATGAAGATATTATTTATTGTTTTTCCAATTTTATATAAAATTACTTCTTCATTCATAAACCCAATTCATAAACACACATAAGAGTGAAAAAATTATATGTCATCATCAAGTTTAAAATACGTATTTAATTTTGTTTGATCCGTAAAAATGAACTCAAATATTTGAAAATTGTCGTGCCGAGACGATACAACCAAATTGATCGTTGCCGACCTTAAAAGGGTGCGTTCAGTGTCGGTATTGAGCAATGAAATGTACTAAACACGTGATTGTGTATTACAATTCCATTAGTGAGACGTAAAAGAACGCAAGTTGGTCCAACTTCGTAGCAATAAAGAGAAGTATGTTTCATTGCAACTAATAAGGTTAAAAGAATGTATGTTCGTTTTAGCGGGTCCTCGCGGTTTTTCACGGTTTCCGCGGAACTGATAAGACTTGGTGTCTTCGGCAAAGTTGTAGCATCCGAGGTCATCTATAACATTGCTTATCAGTTCCGCAAAAAGTGCGGAAAATGATAAGAAAAAAAAAGTTCCATATAAAATTTGCTTTTTTATGTGCGCGATTTGCGCGCAACTGATAAGAGATAGATGTCTTCAGCAATGTTATAGAAGACCTCGAGTACTACAACTTTGCCGAAGACATCAATTTGTTATCTCTTATCAGTTCCGCGGAAACCGTGAAAAACCGCGGAGGCTAGACGGGATGCCAACATACTTCCTTTTAACGCAGATAGAATCAACAGAAAACATACTTTCCTTTTCAAAAATATAAATCGACAAAAAAACATACATTCTTTTACGTCTCACGAATAGAATTATGAGTAGTAATTTAAAAAATTCACTTTGTATTGAAAATGTGGGAATCAATGTCAACAAAGAGACAAAAGAATGATTTGCCATTTATTGTTTTGTATTAGTGTTTTTTTTTAAGGTAATATTCGGCTTTTTTAAAAACAAAGTTACAACACTTGAAATTGGTCGTGTCGTGTTTTAAACTTGATGATGACATATATTTTTTTTTCACTCTTATGTGTGTTTATGAATGAAAAAGTAATTTTATATAAAATTGGATAAACAATAAATAAAATCTTCATCAGAACCATGTGATAAGATATTTGTATCACCGACAAATGGCGACATAGAAAACATTCAATTTAGTACATCTGTCAAAAAGCACGATTCTTCACTACAACATACCTGATGTTCTTTATTTACTGCTTGGTGAACATTGAAAACACTTCATTAATGCAGTTATCTGCAGGTCCCATGTGTGCTTCGGGTATAAGGTGTTGACAAATCATTCAAGCTGACAATTTGCTTAGTTTCAATTTCGCAGTGCCTTGCATCGGTTTCTATCATTTTCTATCTTTATGTCTGTTTCTCTCCCTTTCCCTCTTTCTGCCTCTATCTCTGTTCGTACTCTCTCTCTCTCTTAGGGCAACATTTTGCTTCGTAAATACTTAATTTTGGATCGATGAATCATGGTCGTTGTTCAAAATCAACAAATGACAAATATGTTGCTTATCTATCCTTTGGCCATTGGTCAAAATTCAATGCACAAATTGTATGTTTTTCAGAAGTCAGTATGGGCCTTTGTTTTGGATCGTAGGTATTCTTAAAATAGCGTTAGTGTCGTCGTGGTCAAGGTTCAACAAAACCACACTCAAAACGAATCGCATTCGATGATGATAATGGATTGACTAGTAGTGTAGTCAATTTTTTGTTGTTGTCTCTTTGGTTCGGTCTGAATGCAATCAAAAAATACGATAATTTTCCGCAATACCAATGAAATGCGTCACACGGGCTCTCATTTTCAAGTTACTCACGGTGTGAAAACAACTATACGCTCGCATATTTCATTCGTGTTTTTTGTCATGCATTCGTACCGTATTGCGTTGAAATGTGAAATCTTCGCATCATCACAAAATTATGAAAAAAAAATATATAGATAGATCTATAATAATAATAACAAGGCTGATCTCATTCAATGTGCCTAAAATTTTCACATGCCCAGAGATGAGAGACGAAATATCGTCGTTTTTTACCCCAACACGATAAAAAAAAAATCCATTTTGGACTGGCGTGCAAAACATACATGTGCATAACAATTTTCCCCAATGAACAAACGCCTTCTCTGATTCAGCGAATTGATCATGGCTATGATATATTGATGCACATGTTTAAGAATGGGGACCGAAATGCGATGAAAGATATAGCAATCGCATGTGACGATGGCAACAACAACAGCCGCAACTAAGTCAATAGCAAGCCACGACGATGACGACGGCGAAAAAAACCACATGATTATTTTATTACATTTTGTAATTCTCATATACCATTCTCTCTCTACTGCCTTGCTTGAGTACTTTTGCAATGCATACATCAATTTCAGAGCTTCCACCTGAATTGTAGCCGCTCGCGGTGTGTTGTCAAGTGAAACAAATGTTTCGTTTCGTCGAACTGTTCTTACTCTCCCTCGTTGTGTATTCTTGTGAATTGTGAATAAATCACAGACGAAACGAGCCACAGCTAAGCTCTGCCAATTGTCAGTTAATTGTGAATTAAGATGGTCGAAAATTGATTATGAAAAATTATCATGCACATTTTTCATGCATATTTTTCGACGTATACTATTCGTTGCTCTCCTTTTCACGAGTGAAGATGTGACACGGGCATTAAATCAATCTGTAGTGGCTCTGACTTTGCATAATGGAACTTGACACAGAGACTTGGTTGCTTTTCAAGGATGACGATGTTGAACTTGGAATTTGTCATAGAATCGCAGCCGATGTGCTGGGCATAAATCTCTTGCCCGCTCCATTTGGGCAATAAAATATTTAGCGGGCAATCGATATGACACTACCGATTCTAAGATCATCTGTCTCTGTCTCCATCTTTTTCTTTCTCTCTGTATTTTCCCGTGCCTATATTGTTCGATACGAAAAGCGGCGGCGAAGGCCAACGCAAATCCAAATGTGCGAACATTTGGAGCATCATTCTTTATTTTTCTCCTCGCATAATATTAACAAATTCATGTGATCTTCGTTATTTTCGCTTCGTCTCTATTGCTTCCGACTAAGCGTTTTTTTTTTGTAAATAAAAATAAACACATCCACTAAATTGCGAAATACATCTAAAATTAACTACTTTCGCTCATATCTCCTTTCTTCGAAACAAAGTTTTTGTTTTCTATGTGTGTCTTCCTTTCTTTTTCTTTTTTCACTTAATACTAATGAATCAAATCATTTTTGACTGCCTTCGCATTTGCATCAATCTATAATTAATATGAGAAACAATTTTCATAGACGAACATGGTTCGGTGTGTGTGTGTGTGTGTGTGTGTGTGTGTAAGTGAATGAACATGTTTATACACGTACAACTTTTACTTTGTAACTAAATCGAGACAAGCGAATCATCTAAAAAAGGATTCGGATTGGGCAAAGGGGAAAAGCGTATTCAGCAAAGAACATATTTGTTTTTAGCCCCAACGTATATGATGAGACTATGGCTGTCTCATGAAATAAACATGTGAAACACAAAATTGTATAGACGCTTGCTTCGTCAAAAAAATGAAAATAAAGCGAAGGCGAGCAAGAGTGCGGCGTGTGTAAGGAAAAGTTTCAGCAAAACATTAAAAATCATTGGAGTGACTTTCATTGTTACTTATATAGCGATTATTAGACAGAGAGAAAGAGTATTTCCTTTCTATTTGTTGGTTCGTTGTTGCTTTTTGTGTGCGTGACGAATGTGTGTGTGTATTTTTATTTTGCGTCTCTGGCATCAGTGAGTTGAATGTCTTAATGCTTGAACATGTGACGATGTTCGTTCATTCAGAATAGAACTCTTTTTTTTAAGACGATTTTAATAACGCACGAATATGATCCATTACAACACACAACTATCACATGGTTTGACTGAGATATAGAGAGAGCACACGATCGTAATAGACAAAGTTCGTGCACGAGGAAATTTTCGAGCAAATGTGATTGAATGAATTCCGAATTATTTGATGCCATCATATATCGGACAATTTTAAAAACGAAAATTAACCGCTAGATGATAGCCGTTCGGCATGCTGTATATTGATCAAACTCACCTGATTAATGTAGGCATTTTTTGTGGTTTCACTTTCAACGCTTGACAGCAATGAGGTCAGTGCAATCGGTAAACCATCTTTGGCTGCATAGTAGACACGCTCTTTGATAAAGGGCCGAACACGTTCTTCGGTGCTCGTCTCAATATTTTCATTGTGATCAGCATTGGCGGTGCCGGCATTCGCTTCGTCTCTTTGTCGATTATTGATTGGTTCTCTGCTAGCTGCCTGCTGATCATTTCGTCCGTCACTCTCCGACGACACCATATAATATACATCACGTGACATTTTGTTCTCAATATTTGCCTTTTTTTTCGCTCTGCCGCTCGAAAATAATAAATAATAATGGCAACCGACGCCACACACCACACTACTAAATATGGTTATATGTTGTGTCTATCAAAAATACCAGAAGACAATATTGTTGCACAATGGATTCGATTGCTCTTAACCCGCATTCAAGCAACAAAATGAACATTCAATGAAAACTACGTTTTTTCCCGTGCTTTTGTGTAATACACTCGCAGTTTTTATTTTGGAAGCTTTTCATGGACTTTCTTGTCTACACGTCACACGTTAATTGGTGCATATATCCTCTTTTCTTTCGATGCACACGACTTTTTATACAGAAGTACAGACAGAAGTATACTTTATAATTTATTTACTTGGTTGTGTTATGTTGTCGTTTTGACTGTCCATTCGCGTAATTCGGTTCAGCCGCACACAAAGCACACCACAATCGCGCAGTAATTTTGAGAAAGTGTATTATATTGTTTATGATTATTTTTTCGTTGTTGGCGTTATTATTTTTCTTTTCAATTTTATTTCGTTTTTCTTTCGTTTTTCTTTCTTCTCCTCTTTTGCTTTCGTTACGCACCAGTCTCAAAAGTCGTCGGTATCTTTCGAATACACACCGATAAAAATAACAAAATATATTGAACTTTTTCTTTTCACTTTTATTATTTTGCTGCTGCCTCTGTTGCTACTTCGTTCGATCAAAGTTTCGACCGTTTGTTCCTAGCAAAAGTCATTAAATTTCTGTTTCTGACGCGTTCGTTTCAGTTTCGTTGCGATCACACGATTGAATCGGTGCGGTCGAAACATACAAAAAATTCGACCAGCTTCATCGATATTATCGACGGAAAATAAAGTTCATGAGATAACAATCGATCGATTCGTGTGTGGTGGCTGTGCTGCTATTTTATCTCTCTGTGTGTCTGAACGAAGCGATGCAATTCAATCGACTTGTCAATAGAACGGTTTGGTTTTTGGTGAAGGCCCAAATGAAAATCTTTACATCTTTTTTTTCAAATGAATCTTTTGCCTTATTTGTCCTCTGTATGTGGAATAATCCTTTGTCGTTGAAATCGGCATGAAAATGAAACAAAAATACCAGGAAAATCAGTCGATTTTAGTTTTTTTTATTCGTTGAAATTTTTTTTTTCTCTCTCGCACGAGTCGTATCGCTACAATTTGCAACTTTTCACTTTTTTTACGCGCCTAGTCTTTGTTATTAATTCAATAATCTGCGTTCGGTTGCACTCGGATATCTTTAATCAATAAATTTTAATTAGTTTGTTTGTTCAGTTCAGCACTGCACAATGTGCGAAATTCATTTAATTCTCATTTTCGTTCACTACTCACAATGAAAGTTTATCTTGAACTGTATGATGATTTTGATATTGTCAACACACATATTCGTGTGCACTGGGACGTATGAAAATTATATTCGATATGTCAGTTTTTTGTCGTCCCCCTCTCGGATTGTCACGCACATTAATCGCTCAATTCGGATCGCTCGTGCCAACTATTCGTTCGGTAACTTCAGCGCCATCTCTTCGAAAGTTCAGCAAACATTTTGAACTCGCATCGATTGCCAGCCGATTAAAATTCATTTGGGCCTTTTGGACATTTAATTCGTTTAAAGGTAAGTACGAAAAGGTAAAGTTGAAACGAAATAAAAGAAAATGCGTTTAAAATCAAATGACTTCACTGGTAGCAAAAAGCAAACATTTGATTTTGTTCCATTGAACTGTGAGTCTTTATTATAACAAACTTGAATGGAAATTACATTGTGTTAACTGTTCCAACAGTTTTCGAAGGTAAGATATTTTTGTATCATTTGTTGCAAATAATCAATTGAAATTAAAGTTTTGTTATTGTTCATTTTAAAAATTGTACTGAATAATATATTAAGCCATAAGAGCCCATTTTCGCATTTTTTATGCTTTTTTTTATGGTGATTTAGGCGTTTGTTCGATATAAGTATTCAGAAAATTTTGTGTTTCAAATTGTTTTGTTTTCTGTTTTTGTTCCGAAAATTTTGAATGAGTTTAAATTCATGAGAAAATCATGCTTTTTGCTGGCATTATAAAATTAAATATGAGCAAACGATTGAATCGTTAATCCGTTTGGAATCAGTTGACTAATAATGATTTTGCTTATTCATTGTGCATTAACCATGTCTAATTTAGTTTAAAATTGTGATTTGAAATGTGATGGGATTGGAAAATTTGCGTGGTCGTTTTGCTCATGCAACGGTGATTTCAGGAGCGGTTACGGTTATTGTTACGGGTGGAATAACTGTGGTACCAATTTCAGTGGTCGGTACTTCGGTAATGCTTTTGTCCATTTGCTTTGTGCTGATGCGTCGTCGTGAACGACGTTGCCGACGGGGCGAACGCGTGTTGGAGTCAGGCGAAGCCACAATTTCGTTGTTGTTGCTCTCGGCGGGATGCTTTTTATCCATTTTATCGTTGTTACCATTGCGAGAGCGGCGATTTTCGCGTGGTGAGCCCTTCGAACTTTTGAACGAACGCCGACGAGGATTGGCTTTGGTGGGCGGAACAATCGCCTCTTTTTCTGGATCGAAGTAACTGTCCAAAATATCGACCAATTCACTGCGATTCTCTTCCTTGATCTCATCCATCTTCGAAATTATCTCAGTCAAACCATCCTAAGTGTCGATAGAATGGAAAAAAAATTGTTTAAAGTATATCGATGCAAATAGAATGAAAGAATTAGTGCAGAAATATATTCAAATCATTTGAATTGTTTTTTTTTTCGAACCATTGAAATTTTCTCATAGCAAAAAAATAATTTCCACAATTTTCTTTGAATTATTTATCAGAAAGAGTCTTACCTTCTTCTTTCCATTCCAAATGTCTTCGAGACTCTTCAGATCGAAGCCTTTTTCGGCTAAAACACGACGGAATGTAACGGCCTTATAGCGATGATAGAGGTTTGTTTTGAAGAATTGCACGAAAATTGGCCGGAACGTGTGTTGCAAATCGATACATTTGTTCTGGTTCGTCAATTCATTTATGTCCACATTGACCGAATGAACAAATCCTTGAACCAAATCGGAACTGATGATGTCTTCAGTTTCGCCGTTTGCCGCATCTAAATTGAAACGCAATAACAAAAACCATAGGTATAACTGTGCATTCGTGTGTGTGTGTGTGTGTGTATGTATGTGTGTAACATAACCTCAAATCGGCTTACCTTTGGCCATTTGCTCGAGCAAAAAGTAGGCTAAACGTGCGCGCATCATGGCATTGCCTTCAAAATTCTTCTCCTGATCTTCGGCTTTTAGCTGTCCTTTGACCATTTCGCGTACGGCCTCAATATTGATGGCATCGCCTTTGGCTTCAGCCAAAGCATGGCCATCAACGAAACCGACAACCAGGTGAGAAAATCGATCAACCAAATCGTATTTTTTCAATGCTTCGAGCAGCATGTACGGAATGAATTTGATTGGTTCATTATAAACCAAAACCACCCCTTCTGATGCAGCGTCAGCAGCCTTGCGCTGCTCCAACCAGTCCAAAAATGTTTTCAACGCGACAACCTATTTCAAGCGAAATGAAAAAAAAAATCCAAATGCACAACAATTCACACACAAATCATTCAATCTGATAGTTTTAGATTGAAAATTACCTCCGTTTTGCATTTGACCACTTTGTTGGTCAATGTACATTTTAGCATGCGGAAAAATCCAACCGTAATTATGCGCAATTGGTGTCGTTGCCGTGCTGCTGGATTTAAATTCATCACCGGGATAACGTACTGATCAAATTGCTCTTTCGGGCTGTAGGCGGACAAATGTACGATCTGATCCAACGAAATAAAAGTAAATGATTTTTCTTCGGTTTGTCATTCATTCGTGTTGAATCGATGGCGACCAACACATGGTTTGCAGTCTAACCACGTTTTGGAACATTCATAGAAGATGAAACAAAGAAAAAACACTGGATATGATGAAAATTTTTACCTCATCCAAAATGCGACGACCAGTTGTATCGATATCGACGCCGATGAACGTGTATTTGCCCTTCGGAATGGTGTTTTCAGCTGCCACCTCGGTTACAGTCATTGTCGGTCCTTGAATTGAATCTGTTTTCACGTTTATTCAACGAAATGAAATTGAGTGACAAAAGAATGACGTGAAATTTACTGGTTTACTTTGTTTTGATTAGTTGATGGAACGAAAAAAAAGTAACAATCATTTTATGCGCAGTCAATCATTAATCGAGTAAGTGAAATTGGCCGACTTCTAATAACCAACAACAAATTCCACGCAGAGTGCACATATTTCATGCAGTTCAAAACACGTGCTTTTGAGAGAAAAAAAATGCGTTCGTCAAACTGCACACTTCGGCACTTCCAATAAACATCATTGAATATATATGAATTCAATAGGAATTGAAAAAAACAAAATCTTTGAAATTAATTTATTATTATGATTTTTTCAAACGATCACGACAAATAAAATGTCTTTAAGTTTAGTTTCAAATGCAATTTTGGACTTCAGCCACACCGCAAACAGAACACAACGATAAAAAAAAAAATGCAAGTTTCTTAAAATTCGCGAAAAATATTCGCATTATTCGATTAATAAAAATAAAATCCAATCAATCGAAGCTACTTACCTCTGATAAAACAAACAAAAAAAGTTCAAAATGCGTTAATTTTTCGTTCTGCGATCAACGCAATTTTCTCTAATCTCACTGTTGGAAATTAAGTCCGTTTGAATACTACCACTTGCTTTCTCAATCTAATCATTTGCATCCGGAGTCAAAGCATTTTTATCTTCCGCACAAGAAGATTTTCAGCGACGATGACGACGACGACATCAACGGTGTGCAAAATTTCAAACACATACAAGCGATGCGATTCTAAATGGTAGACTATTTCAGTGAGGCAACATTGCCGTGACAGTAAAAATTCAGCATTTCAATGAATTCGATTGTGACAATTGACTGAGTGATGTATGCGGTGTGCGCCGATAAACATTTTTGAAATCACCGTCTCGATTCGCTATTTACACCATTTCATTGCAAATCCAAACAATATAAAATTCATCCGTACGCCAGAAAAAGATTGTCAATGATGAAAAAAATATATCAAAGTTTAGTCCCAATTCATTCGGTTAATAATTTGAAGTTTGGTTCCGTTTATTTTCTCATTCAATACAAATTGAGAGTTTACATTTTAAATTCACCGAACATTCAATTTGTTGGTCATTTGAGCTGCTATCACTTGCAATAGAATAGCTTGTTTGTTCAGCGTCCTCGTGTTGACTTTCACAAATGTTCGACATCTCTTCAGACGATTCATCATTTTCTGTTGCTGTTTCTCCGAGTGCCTTTATCCTCTCAAATCGATTTTTATAATAGCGCAACGAGTAATATGGTGCCAGAGCACGGTTCGTATGCCATTTACACCGTATTTTCAATCGATCCTCGTCCACATATTTATTGTACAGTTTCATCGCGTCACGTTCCATTTGTCGGTAGATTTGGTTTTGTTGTTGTTTTGATAGTTGTTCGAACGGTTTGTCCACATTCAGCATCTTTCGAGGCCAACTTTTTTCAACGCCATAGCACACATTACCATGGTATAGTTCAACGCGGCATTGGAATTTCCCGCAAATATCCACACATTCCTTTGTAGTAAGCGGTGGAAAATCAATCTAATGAAATATTCGTTGTTGAATTATTTTAGAATTTGAAACAAAAAAAACTTGTAATTTCCATGAACAAATTTTGTGTTCGTGCCTCATCTTCGTCAAAAAAGGCATCCAATTGAGCTTGATTCAATTTGCCGAGATTCGATAGATGCCATGGTCTAAACTTTGGGTCATTCCAATCCGTTTCTTCTAGGAACATATTCTTCTGAAGGGATCCAAGCATACAGATACACAAAATTGCTGACAATTTTCATTTTCAAACACCATGTTTGCTCCGATTCGATGGCAAACGTTTTTTTAAATTGGGGCAAGAACAATCGTCAAATAATTTGCTTCAAATTTTGCGAATGGTTTGGATCTACACTACCAACTGTTCTAGTAAATAGATTCATTGATTTATTTGAAATTTGAAATATTCATCTTCCAAAGTGTGAAATTGAAATGATTTAAAAACGAAGAATTACATTTAGATTCCCAATGAAAGTCAAATTGGAATTTCTCATGAGTTGTTTTTTCTGTTCAAATATCATTCAAATTTGTTCATAGTTTGAATTGGATTTTGGGAAGATGTCGCTAGTCGTACCTACGACAAAAAAAGGTTATTGAGCTCAGCTGATGTGCTGAAACCTGCAAATGGATGTTGTCTATATATTGTGTAACGCATCAATTCAGGCGCTGATACGAAACGAAAATAGAAGAAATTCGATCAGAAAAAAATCGACCGACAGAAAGAAAACTGTCATTTTCTTCGCGGATTGGCCCAAAAATGTTGAATCCTGATCCACCCCGAAACATGTTTGTGTGTTGTTTGTCTCAAGAAAAAAGCCTTGACATTGCATTACCATTGAGTAAATCAAATGCCAAAAAGAGACAAAAAAGACAACCTATCACACTACACTTAGCGTTCGATGGCTGCGTATCGGTCTCTCTCTCTCTGTGTTCAGCTAACTCGCTGTTACGAATTTTACGTCGTAGTACTCGACAACAATCCGAATGTTCGAGCAATGGCGCTGCGCGTGTGTGTGGTGCTGCTGCTGCTACGGCAGCATTTGTTATCTCTGTCTGATGCGATGTTGTTGAACGCAGGACAGTGGAGAGGGTAATATGTGACGGATCCGAGGCTGAAACAGTAGAAAACGAAACAACATTTGTCTCATTCACGCAACTTTGTTTCTCTTACGTTTTTATTATTATTCGATGACAGAATAAACACAATTTTGTTATTGACTGTATGCATACATACGACTTACACATTCTACAATGATGTGAGCATAAACATTACAGCGTATTACTTAACAAGAAAGACAAAATCAAAGACATCCAGAAAAAGCGAAAAAAAAGCGATTCTAAATAATAAACCATCTAAATAAAGTTGAAAATTCATCAAGTGCTGTTGATGAATTTATTTATTTTTTCGTGAATTGAGCTGCCAAAAAAATCGGTAAAAGAGTTCAGTGTGTGTAAAATAAAGTGAAAGAAAAGTATATCAACAAGAGTAAAAGATAGACAGAGATTTGTATGTGGATGAAAATAGGCGTTTGAAAACTCAATGCTGAATCAAACAAAAATAAGTATAAATGAAAGAGCGAGCCAGAGAGGGAGAAAAAAAACCAAATAATAAAAAGAGAGTATAAGCCAACCAAGAATATTTGTCGGCAAAGGAAATTGCGCTATTGAGATAAATGGTACACTACGTATGAATTGACAATGTAAAACAGCGAAAATGAGTTCATGGAATTCGAATGGAAGAAAAAATGATTCATAAGTGGTGAACAAAATGACCAACCGATTGAAAACAGTGAAATAAAACCGTGAACCAAGCAATTCTAATCGAATCAAATCAACACTAGAGACACAAATTTTGAAAATCAATTGATGCAGTGGTATGTGCGCGTGAATGTTATAGTGATATCATCGCCGTGAAGTCACTGCTTCTGCTTATTATATATATATATATATATATATATATATATATACATATAACACACAAATTAATAATTTGATCGTCTGATTTTTGGTAAATCATGTTTCGATCTTTTGCGGAGTTGTTTTGAAATCGCTACATCGACTGATAATATTATAGTGTAAGTAATGTGAACGGTCATTTTTCATACACAACAAATTTTCTCCTTGAAATAAATATGTGAAAATAGCACCTAGGAAATGGTCTAAATGTTATCTGTGCACTTTCGCCGTGTATTGGTTTTCCAGTTTCATTTCGATTATTTCATTTCATTCTTGTATTCTTTGTCCAAAAATTGGCCTATCGATAATAACATTAGTAACCACGGGATGTTTATTGTGATGGAAACGATATCAATGAATATACTCTTCAGCAGAATAGTAACGATAGATGGATTTAATACCATGGTAGTTCTACGCAGTACAATACATTACATGCATAAAAAGTAAAACTTTGGCCCTGCATTCGAATCGATAATAGATTGCAAAAGGTTGGACAGTTTTTTTTCCCTTCCTCTGTTCCATCTATCCTCGGCGGACTTTTTGCGTGTTTGACGCGGTTTATTTTTTGGACAACATTAAAAAGACATGTCACATGTATAATAATTAGTAATGAAAAAACGGCCCATCCAAAAACCCAGAACTCGTGATCTCGGTCTGTGTGTGTGTGTGTGTTGATGTGTTTTCCATGCAATTGTATGATAGAAATCGAACATAAATGAATATAATTTGTGTTGTCCATGTGCTGGCTAGTTGTATCGTCGTGTTGCTATTATTATTGTTGTTGCCGTAGCTGCCATTGTTATTCTGGTTCCTGTACACAATGTTTTGGCCTAATTTTCTGGATATTCTTGTGCCGCCGTGTACACTGTACAGTTCAATGTATGTATCAGAGGTGGTCAGTGAGCGCGATGAAAATATCGACGACACGGTCACGGGCTAAACGCAATTCGTGGCCACCTCAGATTTCCAATAGTTTGTCAATTTTGTAGGAATTCCTTTCGAAAGGCTCAGAGAGCATAGTAAAAAATAGATTTTTAAACCATGTTTACACTGAGAGTCATTCTGCAATTTTGAAACAAGGTTCCAAATCAACACCATTTATGACAATTACCAAACATTACGGATACAATGAACTTTTTGCGACCGAATTTTCGCAATGGAATCGGCCAATCATCGGGTTCATGGGCGCATTTAATTTGCTAGAATGTCAGCCATAAGCCCACGACAATAATCATGGCCATCTCTGAAATGCGTGAAAGAGTGAAAGAGAGCGAGAGACCCGACATCGGCTTAAAGAATAATAAAAAAAACCCTAAAACCAAAGCCAAACAAAAACGAAAAAGGGAAAAATAACGCAATCTATTTTGATAGACTGGCAAGTATTATGTATATATGGAGCATATTTCAATACGCATTTTTGTGTATATATGTATTCATTTGCCGCATATACCTTGTGTCGCGCTTGCAAGACCGCGCTGTACATGCATACATCTATTTGAAAGAAACTGGCCTGAGAAATAAAAACAATAAAAAAAATCATCTGAATAACAGCAGCAACAACAATAATAACAGCCGAAAGAATGTGTGCCCGCTTCTTCGTTCTCTGTCTCTATGTGTGTTTTCTTCTTCTTCTCTCTCTCTCTCTCTCTCTCTTTCTTTCTCTCTCTCTCTCTCGGTGTGTGCACTGCTTCATTTCAAGTCGAGAACATATATATTCAACGTTATTTAGATTCTTTTACTATTATTATTTTTGAGGTTTTTGTCGCTGATGTTTTTTTTCCTTCCTAGCGCGATCGAGAGTATGTGGCTATGATTATCTGTGTGCCTGTGAGACTGTGACTGTGTCTTTGCCCGGCTCTTTCCTTCTCACTCTCAGTCGTATCCGTGCTATTGTACGCCCATGTATTTGTCTATCATTCAATGGTGTGTGTGTGTGTATGTTTTAATGTGTAGACTATTTGTGACGATTCTGTCGCCCTTTCTCTCTCTGACTATCTCTCTCTCTCTAAACTTTACTCAACGCTTAATTGGAATAAACTTTTTTTTTAGAGAATATCGTACATGGGCGCCGCGCGTATCGCGAGCGTGAGCTCGTCTCAATTCTTAAACAGTTGCTGCACCTCAGTGCCCCCATGTAACTGTGTACACTTTTTCTCGCATTTGTAGCGGTTAACCAGTGGATAAGTCATACACGATAAAAAAAAATTACAGATCAAAATATACCATACACTCTCTTTCTCGGGACTTGGCATGGAGAAATAAAACACAAAATCATCGGATTTTTATCGGTTCATTTTGTTGTTATAATATATTTTTGTTGCTGTTATTGTGGTTGATTTCGTTCATTTTCAGAATATTCACTAACGAGACACGAGACATTTTTTTTTGTTCAATAAACAATTATACCGATGGACAGAAAAAAAAATAACTAAAGAAAAACAAAACGAACGAAATCAAATCATCAAATCAAGTAGTACGATACACAATAGGGACTTCGTCTGTAAATCCATCGAGCGACAGTGACGGCAGCGGTTATGTGTGCGAATCGGACGGTGAAATGAAATCGGAATATTCACTGTGAATACGAACCCGAAATCAAAAAAAAAAAAAAATTGACATTCAGTAGTCCCGCAAAGTATTGTTGATTTCATCGAAGACACAAATAAAAACGATATTCCGCATCGTCTGTGAATTGTAATAATTTTTGCTGGTCAAAATATCGAACTAGCTTGTTTGTTTGAGTGTTTATGTGTGAGCGGGCGTGCGTGTGTGTGTTTCTGTTTCATTTTGTTGATTAAATAAATGTTTCTGTTTCAATTTGTCGGATAATATTCTGTCGAGGAAACATAACGAATTTTTCGGTAAGTCACCGTGTTATTTTTCTTTCGTTAGTCTATCGGAATCTCGACGGTTGTGTGTGGAAACCAACCTCACAAGGTCAACCGCAAAAAAAAATTCATACACACTGAGCTCCTCGAAACTGTTCACAGATAGTCAGCCACCGCATACAATCTGAACTGTGTGTATGAATATCCATGTCAAAAATAAAGCAAAAAAAAAGAAATGAATTATCAATGTCAGAAATTGAACAACATAGTTTCACATAAACGATGATTTCAAATGGTTGCAGATGTGGACCACAGGAAGGAGAAAAAACGTTTTTTTTTTTTTGAAAAAAGTTTCATTTCACACGAAATGGGGTCTAGCAAAGCTGAGAGCTGTAAAGCACAAAATGACAAAATAAAAAGCCGTAAAATATGTCTTCTGCGCTGTTATGTTTTTACCATTATATATATATATATATATATATTTCTTAATTATTATCATCATTGTGCCGCCGTCAATTCAGTCCTGTATCTTTGAATTGCTTTGATTTCGGCTGTGTGGCTATGGCACTTGACTTATGAATGAATACACAATTCGCATACCGAAAAATGTAGTCTCGTACGATTGTATGCGCAGTATGACGGCACACACCACAATAATTGGCAAGAGCCCGAAAAGCTAGTGAGCGAACAAATTGTCGAGTCGGTGAAGCTGTGTGTTTACACAATTTTTTCGTTCGATTTTGATAAGCGACGTATGTATCGCGATTTTTGCGTGTGTGTGCGTGTACTTGCAAAGATTTATATCGGCTGGATATTTAATTCAATTTTTTTGGCTATTAATTTATGTTGACGGATTTGTGTTCGAGCCGTTTGTTATTTTCTTTCCTTGCTCTCTGGTGTTTGCCGCTCGTTTCAGATTCAATTAGTGCGCTGTGATAGTGTCACAGGCCATGGTGGAGCCTTCCTCGATGCTCAATTTTCATAAAATTTCATTTGGGCCCGGCTGCTTCTTTTCGGAGGAATTCACCAGTTTCTATGCTGAAAATGTATGAGCTCGATCGAGTTGCGCTATTTTTCCTCTCTGCGTTTCTTGTTTTCAAGCAAATTTCGAGCTTGTAAAATATTTAAATGCCATTTCTCATGAAGCACTTGAATCCAAATTCCAAAATGCACACACATTCGAAACTCGAATCCATATCGCTCAAGCAAACGACAACAACTACGACGAAGAAGACGAAAACAACAACAACCAAATCATCATACATTGTCGAATGCGTAAACGATGTTCGTCGGTGTTCGCGTAGCCGAATTTGATACGCGATGTACATGCAAAACATTCAGCGGTTGTTTCGTTTCCACAACCACACAACACTGTGTGTGCACAAATAAACACATACCGAAATGTATTATAAAATTAACTAAGTATTTTATTTGTTAGACCTTGAAATGCTGTTATATACACGAGTGTGACGGCACGATAGGAAAACAATGAACAACACGTAGCGAATAAATGGGAAAAAGTTAAAAAATACATTTTTTTTTCGTTTATGACCACGGTGTAGATGTGTGTATTTGGTCGTCGATTGGCCATTTAATGAATAGCGAATCGAATGCTCAATAAAAGAGATTAAAACGACAATGTTGAATTGAATACGAAAAAAAAGTCTACATCATCTACACATAGAGACACACACAATTTACTTTGAATGTCTCAACTTAATGATCATTGTGTCAGCAAGAATGGATTGAATTTCGCAGAGTTTTCTCATTTTTTTCTGTTCGCCTAACTCTGGGATGTATTCAACGATCTTCTGTAGAAATCTATTCAGATTTTGCTGAAGTGGAAACGCAAAACGCACTCCAACAAATAAAAAACAATAATAAAAAATTATTCTATCAACAGCAAATCAACCTCTTTTCCGTTTTCATTCTTATGTCTCTCTCGCTCATGACATTAATGTTTTTTTGTGTGTTCGCTGCTCGTGCAGATTATATACCATTTTAAACGATGTGCTTTTTGTTTATTTTTACATCTCATCGCTATTGCTTTAGCTATGGTTATCATTCCAATGCATATTATTTTCATTTCAACCTGTTCAAATTTCACATAAATATCCAATTTACATGCTCGTTTGTTATATTTTTCAATGCCGTATGAATAAATATTCAATATACTGGATTGTTTTTTCTCCCTTGCAGTCACGATTATATCGGACGAATTTTGATATCATCATCGGTATTTTACGGTCGTTTTTTGCTGTTGTTTTTTTTATCGATCGACAGAAGATTAT